CCCCGTCCCTCCCACTGCTCGCGACGTCTCCACTTCCTGCAGCGTCTCCCGGTGCGTCTGTCTCCTCCCCTCCCCCTCCCTCTCCTTCAGACGTTCTCTCACAGCCCTCTGCCTCGAACCCGGCTTCCGCTCTGTCTCTTCTCCCTGCATCCCGCCCCATCCCTGAGCCTCCGACCCTTCCTCCGGCTTCCTCTCCCCCTAAAACCGCCTCCCCTCCCCTCTCCTCTCCACGCTCTCCCACCTCCACCCCAACTGTGTCACATCCAGGACGTAGGTCCCCTAAGGTGAAGGTAAAGCTGGAATGTGGTGATGAAGACTATGATACCGACTCCCCTAACAGTATTTATTCCCTGCACTGTTGTGCTGATTGATTGATTGATTGATTGATTGATTGATTGATTGATTGATTGATTGATTGATTGATTGATTGATTGATTGATTGATTCAGAAGATTTTTACCCTGAATCTGTGATTTACTTCACTGATTTGGTAAAAATGTCTGAACGGTTTCAAACGTTTGTTCGTTTAAATGGTAACAATAGGTGCGTTAACATTTGGGATTGCTTTTAGGACTTTAGAAATRTCTGGGTTTCCAGTGACCTCAGAGACTAATCAGAGAATAAATACTAACCTGCATCTCATATTACCCTGCAAGTATCAACGTGATGTTTTACGGAGAGGAAAAAACCCGCTGAACTCCTTAAAAAGGAAAGTGTGAGCTGCTTCTTGGTTGTCCTGGGGTTTGATCAGAAGGATCTTTCGTCAGCATCCGCATGTTGATTGATCGTGTTTTYGCAGCATGTCGTGAGTTTGTCTGCTTCTGAGTTTAGCTCCGCGTCAAGGTTGCTAACATGGTCACTGTTAAAGATTATAGGTGTGTTGCCTCTGGTCTTTGTGGCTGTTAAGCAGGATCCAGTTGTCGGCGGTAAACCTCCTCGTAGCCCCATCTTGTCCCGGCGGTCCTATCTGTCACCTGTTAGAGGTCGAAGGGTAGGGGGGTCATGACTTCACTCAACAGTACTCCTGCAACACTGTTTCTGTGCAGGAAGCAATGCTAAAAATTATATATGTAGATATATACATATATATATATATATATATATTTAATTTGATTATTGTCTTTTTCTCTCTCCAACACAGCGGTTGGTACAGGATGCATTACATGGAGGAGGAGAACCGTAAGTAACATTTGTTCTTATCGTTAGTATTATGTTTATCTTTTTTTTGTTTGTTTGTTTGTTTGTTTTTTTGTTTTTGTTGATATGTCAGGTATCATATTGAAACCGTGATTTCTCTCCCTGCTAAGAGTAAAGGTGTTGCTTAGAGCTTTTGAAGTGGGGAAAAGTTTGAAACAGTTACTGTCTTGTCTGCTGTCAAAAAGCTTTTTGTATCACCCCAATTTAAATAATAGAATTACTTAAAAAATAAGTTAAAGCAATAAATATTTATCATATTTAAAGGTTTTTTATTTGCCTAAAGTTTATAGAAAGAATGTATACAGGCTAAAGTTGTGATAATGATTGATAAAAGTGTAGGCAATGCTTATCATGCTGAGTGCAGTGCATCATGGGTAGTTCACACAAGTGATTCCACCACAGGTACCAGGCCCTGTACAACTATACGCCTCGTAACGAGGACGAGCTGGAGCTGAGGGAGGGYGACGTCGTCGATGTGATGGAGAAGTGTGATGATGGCTGGTTTGTTGGTAAGATTGTACACAACCACTAAAACTTTCACTCTTGATTTATCTGTTCAGGGAAAAAAACACTTTGCAAAGACACAATATAGTTCTATTAGTATAACAGTGGGAGACAAGATATTAGTTTTCTTCATAACAACTAAAAAACATAACAAATCAATAAAACTCAATGGATTTAACAATAAGAATTAAAGTTATTTACCAAATTTGTACAAAAATGCATATAGTSAAAGTGAAATGTAACTTTTTACTGGCACACTGTTGAGACATTCATGTCACTTCGCTGTATGTCAGATTAATAGGTAATATGTGGCCTTCCCTGGAAATAAGCTGATGGATGGATGGATGGATGTATCTGTATGCTACATTCAGAATGAAACAAAATATCACGTATCACGTTAGGTTTAATGATCCACTAAAAATTAGCTCTAATTTGAAAAATACAGCAGTAAAAAGCTGTGAATAAATTATGATATTCAGTGCGTTAGAAGTAAATTCTTGCTAGTTACGAAAACTATATTCATCAGTTCTTGTARTGAAGTACACTTTTACAACCGATTACTACAAATTATAAATTTGCGTCGACATGTTTAAAAATCCATACATTTCAGATTGTTTTTGTTTGTTTGTTTTATTTATTTGTTTGTTTGTTTGTTTGTTTGTTTGTTTGTTTGTTTGTTTGTTTGTTTGTTTGTTTTAAAAAACTCAGCCTGTAGGGCATAAAAACAACAATGAAATGAAATGAAATGACCGTTTCTCAACCGGCTCTGCTGCTAGAACAGTTTTTTTTTTACAACTAGCTCAGACACAACATTTAGATAATCCTTTTAAAAACAGACAACTTAAATATTAGCTTATTATAAACTTATTATTTATGCACAGAATATGTTTAGAAGTAAATCATGTAGTAAACAGTGYAACCACAAGATGTCAGTATTGTTCCACCACAGATTTTTAACCTCACATCGAGCATATTCACAGTTGGCACTGAGCTGCTGTCATCCTAACAAGGCTTGTTATTTTTTACAACACACAAACTGTTTATGATCATGAACAAAGGTTAAAAGTTAGTTTTAAATGTAATACTAAATGTTTTGTTTAAACACTTAAAAAAAACAATTTAATGAGCACTGACAGATCCTGAGAGTTTTCTGAAATGTCCAGTTTTGAAAGGCAATATTATAACACCACTTAGACTTGTCTTTTTAAAATTGTGCTTTTTAACGTAATTATAGAAACCTTAATTATATATTTTCTAAYTATAGATTTTCAGTCTGCTGCAGCTACAGCTCACTGTCAGCCATTGTTGTCTGGTCTGACCGTCTCCTTTCGGTTTTTAAAGGGACCTCTCGAAGGAGCAAGTTGTTCGGAACCTTCCCAGGAAACTACGTGAAGCAGCTATAATGATTCCAGGCTCCGCCCCGCCGCCCCCTACGTGGCCCCGCCCTCTCTCTGCGACACGTTCACCGCCGTCAGCACAGCACCCGCAGAACGCCACCAGAGACCTGAGGCTGCAGCACACTTAGTATCTGCATACGTGTGTGACCTGTCCGTGTCATGCAGGCAGATTTCTTAGCTCTAACTCGCCAACTTTATTGGAAGACTTCTATGAGATAAAACTGTTTTTCTAATCTTGTCTTTTTACATTTATTTTTCTATTATGGAGAATCTAAACCTTTGTGCTCCAGTCAGTGACATTTACCCTTTGCCGATGACAGAAGGATGTTGAAGGACCGCAGTGATGCTTTCTATTTTCGCAGTTTTAAGGGCAGTAAGATCACCAAGAWCACCKTTTTATTTTTTGTTTTTGTTTTTACTGAAGTCGCTAAACTTCAAAACTGATTTGACTTGCAGGTAATTTTATTGAGTTTGGAAATCTCCCCCAGTGTCTTTTGGTGGGACGAGTTTAAAAGACAGTATTGTGTCAGGATTGTATTTTGGGAGTTTCAACTGACCTGTTGGATCATGATGGCACTTCACACATGTATAATAAACAGCATGTATTTATCTTGTCTGTAACTAAGGGTTTATGTTGGTTATTTAGGTTTGCAACATAAATAAACATTTGTTTAATTTAGCTAATAAATGACAAAATTCTGCACCTCTTTGTTCGATCATTCACATTAGGGCTGCACGATCATAGAAAAAATATCATTAAACATCGTGATGATATCAGTTGCAATTAAGCCACATTTTTCTCTCTCTTCTCCTTTCTGTCTGTCACCACAATCCTCACAACACTCTTAAACCACTGTCATTATTTAGAAACAAAATCTCATAATCGACYGCGGCCATTTTTTATTTTGTTTTTCATTTCACGCACTGATGTTGCAATAATGATGAGTTTTYKATAAATTGTGCAGCCCTAAGATTGATGCACTTTAACAATATGTTGACACAAACTCACGTAGGGTTTTATTTTATATTCCACCTCAGATTTAACACTCTGTTACTCTGACTGCGGGACTTCAGGAGACGTCGTCAAGTTTGGAAAGTGTATGCAGCAACAATGCTTACCTTTTAGGTGTTATATTTATTAGATGATGAAATGTTGATCAAACTGTTGTAAGGTTATGTTAGAAATGATGAGCACCACATTTATTGTATTTTTTGTTTTGTTTTGTTTTGTTTTTTGTCTAAATCACCATCTTATTTGCATTTGAAGCTCTGTTCTTTCAGTGTATTCGAATCGTAGTGCGGTTTGGTTCTAAAAGAGACCGCTAACCTGCTGGCTGATGGGGAGTTGCTGTCAGGTGTGCAATGTGGAAYGCATGTCAGCTACAGTGAAAGAGCAGTTTGATGGGGAAAAAATGCTTTTATGTAACTGCACATTATGACCCTGCTGTCAGAGTAGGAAGTGCATCATTGTTCATGTGTGTGTGTTCTTTTTTTTTTTTTTTCAATTTAGCTTGCTGCTTTAAGCGAACACAACCTGCATCTTTGTCTTGTTTTTGTTCTTTTCTCATTTTACAAAGAATGGACACTGACTAAACTATTGCTAAAGCACTTTAAGTTGTAGTCTCATTCATCATTCACGTCACTCCCTGTCATTCACTTGTCACCTGCTGTCAGAACATTCTGTGTACTTTTGTGGTGTTTTTGTATGCCTTTTTTTGTATAAGAGCTGTAATATGACCAGCAATCACTTGTTTCATAAAGTCAGCTTTTTTCCTCACCCACCATCCCATTTRGTTTCTTCTCTTTCTTCACATTTTCTTCATCTTTGGGGCCTAATTTAATTTCATTTTTTTAACATTTTAACTGAGGGATTTGAAGTGAATTTACTGTAGGCTGAGTACAGTTGGAGTTTGCTGCCTTACATCCAACTCATTTATTTAATAGCCATGTACATGTAAACCTCTTTTGTGATGCAAAAAATGATAATTTAAGTAGTCTAGAAAACACTATGTAGATGTATGATAGCGTGTAGAGAACATAAACTCTTCAGTGATTTAACATTCAGTAGGTTTTTGGGTGTGAGCATACAAACATATGGACTGAAAACATTTGACTTTCAATATTTTGTCACTTGTAAGAAAAAATATTAAATTGTATATGGTATTCAATTTATCTCCCATTACTGGACCTGAAGTATTTCTACAACACTGTAGCATTTCTGAATGGTTTTATGAAGCTGTATTGCTAATAAAATCCAGCTTGTAGATGACATATCTATTTTTATTTAATTGTTTTTAGCTTAAAAGGTAAACATTGATGAATGGAAKTGAGTATGCTGATACCAAGCACAAAGTTTATCTAAGGACATTTCTCTTTTTTCTTTAAATGAACACCGAGGGGTTGTTGTGTGCAGTAAAAAGCTGCTGCGTCAACGAGTGGAAGGTGAAATGGTGGTTTAAACAGACCACCAACACAATAAAGTAATTAATTATCTTGTAGACTTCTTTAGTATATTTTTTRTGGTTTTGTAGTTCTGGGTGTATAGCAGTTTTTGGTGCACTGGATCAAGCCAATATACAGAAGCCCTCAAGCAAAAAACACAAAGGGTCTTAGGAAATTGTCCAACAGTAACTTGCTGAATCTGAGCCATAGGCATAAATAATAATYTGTACCACTGGGTTGCCATTCATTGGACATTTGCCATTTAAAACCCTATTTTTGGCTTTTTGCCATCCTCATCTTGGTCTTTTCTAAATGTGACCGTATTAGGACGAGAGAATTGAACTGGAAGTGTGATTTTTGAAAGTTGGCTGAACAAAAAGGCTGGACTTGCAGTTCAGTATACTTTAAAATTATGTCTATCTTCATCATGAGAAATAGAAAAAAATATATATTCATCTAGTTGAAAACGAGCTGGTGCCTTGTAAAAACATTATTTTTTTTCAAGCCAGACCCAAGTAACTGTTGGTGTTATTCCACTTTATGGCACTTCCTTACTGACTTTATGCCCCAGATCCAACAGCTCTTAATTGGATCTCCTAATTGGATCATTGTGACACTCAAGTATCGGGATGGTATGGGTTAGTGTAGGACCCAAATGAAGAGCAAATGTGGCAGACAGTAAGAGAGATCTACACTTCTTTAAAGTGGACAATCTGAATTTAGATTCTGTGAAAAGGTTGTGATGAAATATTATCTTGTTGGCTCTTTAAACAACCTTTTTGTGAATGGTAAACGGCTTGAAATACATACCACTTTATCAAGTCCACACTGACTCCAAAGTGCTTTACACTTCAATCATTCATCTATTCATACACACATATTTACACACTGWTGGCAGTAAGCTACATTGTAGCCACAGCWGCCCTGGGACACACTGAMAGAGGTGGGGTTGCTTCTGTAGGAATACATTTTTTTAACTGTGTTCCATTGGAAATTAAAACACTGATTAATAAATGACCAGATTTAATCTAATCAATGAGGTTTGAACTTGGAAATCCAGACAGATTTATTTGTTGTGTTCAGTAACCAGGCTTACTACTATCAGTAATACAAGTTAAAAATGTACACAGCACCATAACATGTTCACTAACAGTGGTTGAAGCTAACAGCTGAACTCAGCCAAAACCAAAGTGCATGGTTGTCTTAAAACAACTATATCCAAAGATTTATAGCAGTTCATTAAAAAGCTATTTCCTGAATTTTTACACCACTGTTAATTCTGCATTACATGGTTATTTCAGCAGAAATATTATGATGCACAACTGCTAAAACACGCTCCCAGGTTGCCTTAAAGTGCTACAGCTAACTGCTGCTGCCATTTGCAGTTGCAACAATCAATAAAACTCTATGTAGATAACAGTGTAAAGCATAAATGATGACCGCGTAGAGGTTTGTGAAATAAGTTTTGCAAGAATCGGTATGAAATTTTGAATTCTACACTTTTTCTTTTGCCTTCAGTAAAAATAGAGCAAAAATTAGTCATACATACAAACACAGACACCACGGATGAGAAGCTAACAGAGAACAAAGAAAACCAAGAATACTAAGACAACTAACAATGAATGCACAGCTATTAGTAAATAGAGAGCAGGTGTGTCCAAGCAGGACAGGTTCCACCAAAATAAAACAGGAAGTGAAAGCCGAAGAGACCATGTTTCTGATTATTGTAATGCACACTCTTTAAATATGATATGTAGATTTAAAAACATGTAATGAGCCGAGAAATAGGATTCTGTCTTGAATTATTTTTATTTTGGAAGCAATCAATTGTCGTTTGGGTGATGTTACGTTTAGGACTGCACTAACTGATAAACTGAAGCAGAAGGAAGAATTGATCTAAACTGGTTTGCCATCATACCCAGTGGGTCAGAAGTCTGGGTCTCATCCAGATCAATAGTGGCTGGAATGTGCTTCTGAGACCTTCAGGGCCTCAGAGAGGAGCTTTGCCTTCAGACCAAATAAGGAGATGAGCAGCAAATACCCGGTGAGACTCTRAGAGACCAGAGAGGAGAAGAGCTGGTGCTAGCTGGCTTCTGACAGAGGCTGGTTTCCATCTTCTCTCTGTTTACGAGTGTCCCTGTAGGCAAGCAGAGTCTCGGAGTCCAAAGGGAGGCTTCTAACTCAAAACATTACAAAACTGAGCGTAAATAAAAGGTGACAACTTTGGTTTCTGTTTGCAGAGAATTGTACAGAGAACAGAGGAAATCAGGAAAGTGTCAACAGAATTAAGTGTGCTGTAGAGCTAATRGAGACGGATGATCTGTTCCCAAAATCTGACCAATTACCTCACTCATGGGGTGGGCTTTTTTCCATTCTCCTCCCTCTGCACCCCCCCTCGTGAGGGTTCAAAATCTTCATCACTTTTAAACTTCTCTGCTCTTTAACTGKGATCTGGGCCGTGTGCACTTTACTTTCCTCTGCTGTTGCAACAGCTGGGAGATCTAAAAAAGWAAAAAAAAAGGGGGGGTCATGCCACTAAATGTTGTGCTGGACGGGCCTCCCCCCTGGGGTTTCCGCCTGACAGGAGGAAAGGACTTCAACCAGCCCCTGACCATCTCCAGGGTGAGTGATGTCAGCTGTCTTCTGTGAGACACAAGATAAATGTTAAAAATCTGTTTCAGGCTGCTCCATAACAACAAAGATTTTAATCTGTTTGATGACTCCTGTATTTTCTTCCTGATCTGAGGTTTTCTGTTGGCCGAATATCCCAAAATATCACAACGTGTTTTACCAGGCGTCAGCTTTGTCTCTACTGGAGAGTTCATTTTAGAAACCTCTGATGTGTTGTGGAGTCCGCACCTGTGCCTGGGCTTAGATACAAATAGCAGCTTACATTGTACTCTGGCACGCACACATGCACGTTTCATTGGGGAGGAATTCTTAAGCATGGAAAATATTTGTTAAAAAAGACAAATCTGCAAAGAAGCATGAGTTTGMTTTCTCCCTGAAACCTAGTGAAAAACATGACATCTGATCAAACAGAGAAAAAAAAAAGAACTGAAATCTTCATAGGCAGTGTTCGGACAGGACACTACTGAGTCAACACAGAGAAGAATAGATTTGTAATTAACTGGAATGATGTGACAGTGTTTCGTTATGTTAGATATGACRTTCAGCTGTGCAGGGGGGAAAATAAAAGTCAGCGTTGGCTTAACTCACGGCATCTTCTAGCTTATGGTCTTCACACTCAAGCTGAGAAACAACACTCATGTAACACAAACTAAAAAATGGTTTTGAATCAATCAAATCTAAGTATTTAAACAGAAAAAGACCAACTGAAAGTTATCTTTATCTACATATGTCATGGAAATTATCCTTTCCTGGAGTGAGTGGGGCATTTCCTGTTGATGCAAACTATAACGCAACATCAGAACCACAAAGGGACTGACTACATAAACTGTGGGAATTTGAAACATTGTCTCACAGTCCAAATTTGTAAAATGTTTGTTGACTTGTTCATCCTTTAAAGTTATTTTTGAGCACTAGAAAAGGGGAAAGCTGTGGAAATGAACCTTGCTCAGATCCAGAGCATTAATCTGTTTTGGGCTCCTCTGAGGTCGACTCGGTGCATCTTTGGAGTCTTTCCTTTAGGTGAACCCATCAGCTTCATATTTGGTGCTTGGTATCTGCTGAGGTTCCAAGTGAGCCAAATAAAGCTGAAGCTGATCACACCTCAGGCCACTGATTTGCCAGAAAGTGACGTCAATCCTTAGTARTATGTAAGATTTCAGGTGGAGCACCCTTGAGCCATTTTTTAAATCTCACTGCCAATGATGAAGTATTTGTTGACTTATGTCAGAATTCAGAAGGAACCAGAACAAATGGATGCAATTTACTGGCTCCAACCAACTGAGAAAAGGTGGCACTGATTTAGCCGTGGCATTTTGGGAAACTGTGGCAGAGGATAGTGAGTGCTTCTGTGATTTTATTTCACTTATTTGCCTATTTCTGTGTTGGGTTTCCCTTGAAAAGCAGATCTGAGCAGCTACACTACCAATGAAACTGTGTAGACCCAATCTGAGGAAGTGAGTCATGATAAAACTGGACAATAATCTCAGTTCCTTCAAAGTGCTGCTAAACTTTGTGGTTCTGTGGAAATGTTGAACAWAACTGTTCATAACTGTACTTCACTGCTTATCACAAACTTTAATATCCTAGSTCTTAAAGATAATCATAGTACCTGCTGGAATAACCATTTAACAAGAGTGTAAAGATTTAGAAAATAGTCTCTGCATGAGCTGATTTGAACTTTTTGTTAGTGAAAATAAGGTGGCAGCAACCCCCTTTAGTCCTGGCCTTGCTCAGACTAGCCATCAATCAGGACTAAATTAAATTAAAATGTATTTWTCCAAACCGAGGTCCTTCAAAGAGTTATCTACAACAGGTAAGACATTAATTGTTCAGAACCTTTCCACAAAACCAAATCAAAAATAATCAAAGAAATACTGCACGTACAAAAACCTTTCAGTGACTCGTCTGCAACTGTTTTCCCCTCCCCCTGCTGTTCTTTACCCCCAACAAATAAAAAAAGCAAACAGCGGCCATGCCTTCAGTGTTCAAATTCACTGGTGGACTGAATCCCACGAGTCAGAAGAGCTAAAACGAGAAGACRTCAGTAATGCGTCTCCGTTGAGGTCAGTGTTCATCTATATTTAGGGAAAGACCTCAGGAACTAAATAAAAGCAGTTAGATGGCTACACTGGCAGTAATGTCCCACCTGTCGTGTTCACAGACCCTCAGAAGTTCCATATCCCTCTACGGCATGACTTTTTATTTTGGGAGAAAAAAAAGCATTTGACC